TATGTTGCAACTAATTTTAGCTTATGTTGCAACATTTTGTAAATTTGAAATCAATTGCTGTACCATCTTTAGTCTTGACCATAGTTCCATTTGAATAGGCTCAAGTCGTATTAATTCATTATAAATATCATTCATTTTTGATTTCCAAAAATTGCAGAAATATGGACATTGAATATTTTTCTTGTCCTTTAAATACTGAAATTATTATCGATCACCACATGGGGTTCCTATGACTGTCGATCAAAATATTCTTTTAAAAGATCGCTATTTATAGGTCTGGCTAGTAATTGTCTATCTATTTCCCTTATTTTGTAAGATCTGTTTATTAAGACTTCGTGAATCCTATACAGTCCTTTTAATTTTGGTTCTAATTTTCCTGAAAATTGATTCATTTTGGCGGCATTATAGTATAAAACTTTTTGTCTAATGTAAAATGATTTCAGCTTAACCATTTGTTTATCATGGGATGTCTTCTGTTTGTTTTTAATGACAATCATTGTTTATTTTGCTTTTTCCCTAATTTCAGATAATTTTTCTATAATTTGACATATCCTGTCGATCAAATTTTTACTTTGTTGATCCACATAATCATCTAAGGGTAACTTGGCTTCTCATCCATAAGTTAATAAAAAAGGTGACATTTTGGTAGATGCATGTTGATCTATATGATAAACAAATAATATAGGGGCAATATGTAAGTCCTACTCAGTTTGTTCTTGAATAAGTTTGGCTAATGATTCCTTTAAAGTCTTATTGAAACATTCTACTTGTCCATTTGTTTGTGGATGATAAGGGGTGGAATTATGATGTTTAATTCTGAATTTTTCCATTAATTCTTTGATCATCGCATTGTTAAAATGAGTACCATGATCTGTTAGGATTTTCATAGGGCAACTATGTCTACATATGATATCTTTATAGATAAATTGAGCAACTTGACTAGCAGTTGCTTCCTTTACAGTTTTTGCTTCAGGCCATTTAGTAAACATATCAACGGCTACAATAATGTATCGATTTCCTTGTAGTGTAATTAGTAATAGTCTAATGAAATCTATTCCTATCTGATAGAAAGGACTATGTGGTGAGATGGGATGTAATTCATTATTCTTACTTGGTTCTCCTCTACATTGGCAAGAATCACAAGTTTTAACATATGCTTTGATATCTTCATACATTTGTGGCCAATAATATCGCGTTCTAAGTTTGTTGAACATTATCTTAATTCCAAAATGTCTAGCTGTAGGGTCATTATGTATTATATATAGTATTGGTTCTAAAGATGAGAGACGAAACTCAAAAAAGGCAATTAATAAACAGCCGAAACTATATTAAAACATAGTGAGGGTACGATGAAACCCCAAAACCCAAAATTAGCTGAAACTATATTAAAAACATAGTAAGGGATATGACGAAATTATTTTGAGGGAGTTTCGGCTGGCATCTTTAATTGGACTACTTGGCTGATCTTAATCATATGTACAAATTTAGCTTAATAATAAAAATTAACAAAAATTTTGGATTTCCTCCTTTTCTACTGACCGTTTTCTATATTTCAACCTAAAAATCATATTTAACATATAAAAGTAAAATTAATTTTTCCTGATAATTTCCCCTCTTTCTATTGCAAAGGTCACATATATAAATTTATATTTAAACATTTATTTATATATTTAAATATTATTTATTTATAAAAAAAATCATAAATTTAAAGTTAAAATTTTTTATATTTAATATTTTAATTACTAAAAATTGAAATTTATTTAAAAATAATAGATTTATAATAAATTTTATAATGTATTTTAACTAAAATTAAAAAAATTATAAGCTTTTATCTAGATTTTGCATAATAATTAATTGAAAGTTATAATTAAATTTAAATAAAAATTATTATCATTTAAGTATAACATTTATTCTTTAATAATAAATACAAAATTTTCAAGAACCATCTGATTTTTCTACTAACATAATTGGTGATATCCATAGTTTAGTAAACTTTTCAATAATATTTTATTCTATTATTTAAGCGATTTCATCTTTGATTATATTTTGAATAATAGATAATAATGAATTATTACTAGTTTTTATTTAATGATAAATTAAGATGATCCTTTCTAAATGAGTAATATCTGAAGTAAATAAATTCTTAAAAAAAAATAGAATTGTTATTACTCTAAAATTATAAGACTTATCTGAAATAACTTAGATTCTATTTTGTTAATGTGTAGATTTATTTCATTATGATAATCTTTAACTTTATCTTATTATTTAATTATTTTCATTTTATATTATTTAATCTTTATAATAAAAACAGATTTGTCATTTTTTTATTATATATTTTGACTAATTTTTCTTACTAGTAAGATTTGGTAAACAAATTCTATTTTTATTATTTTTTTCATTTAATAAGAATAATTGCTTAAAAAATTCTTGATTCAAAGTCTAAATAATTATGGCAGATAATTTTTGAATATAAAGTATTCTCATAAATCTTATAAATATTAAATATATTTATCTAAAGAAAATATAAGAAATGATACTAAAATTGCTTATCTAAACTTATTTTGGATTTGGTTAAACATCTAATCGTTAAATTTTTACTAAACATTTGATATATTTTTATAAGCTTTGATATAATTTTAATTTTTTTTTGAATTTTGCATATTTTTTAATAAGATTTAATATAATTCAATCAAGTTTATCTTTACCATTTAAATGTTTAGTTAAATCCTAGATTTTATCTAGTAATCTTAATTAAGAGTATAATATTTAGCAGAGAATTCTATATTTAAACAAAGAAAATATATCTAAAATATTTTTAAAATTAAAAATCTATTTGTTTTTTTGGCTATTTTAACAACTAACATCATTAAAATTGACCCAGATATTGCCATCGCTTGTAGTTATTGCTAGTTTGAGCCTATTAGGAAGATTTGACACTTTCTGCTAGCTATTAACTATCTGAAATCACATATTACTATAGGATTGAGGATTAAGTTATAAAGCCAAAATTATTTATTAAAATACTAAAAATAATTACAAAAGTAGAAATTCTATTTTAATTAATATAATATCTTTTTTAACTAATATGAATTTCTTTATTAGATATACTCTTTCAATTATTATAGGATCAATTTGATAATTTAAGACTAAAGGAATTCTTTTTGAAATAAAGATCAATTATAGTTTCAAATTAAAAATAGTAAAAATTGCATTTATTTATCTCATTATCTTCATATTCATTCTTATTATCAAATTTCTTATAATCATCTTTATCATTATAAAAGAATTTTGAATTTGTTATTTTTAATGTTTTTTTGAAAGCATATTGTATTAAATAGGATTATTAATAGTTTTTTATTCTATTGTATTATTATTGTATTATTTGAATAGTCAATATTAGGTTTGACTTTACTGAGCTTTATTAATAGTAATTATTTTTTCTAAAAATTTTTTTCATTTTCTATTAAAATTGATCATTTTTATATTGGTGAATCAATCAATATGCATCCCTAAATCTTTCAAGAATTGTAGTATTCAATATATTAATAGTATTAGACAATTCTTTATTCATAAATTTAGAACTATGGAATATTGGTTTTCTTAAACTTCTGAAAAATTCGCTACAGTTCTTAGGTAATAATTGAACTAGTTGGGTTACAGAAATATTTATCTTCAAATGCTATAAACCAGCAATAATATTGTAAGGTTGTATGTGAACTAAGATAAAGGGTTGTATCTAAAGAACATTTCTTCATTTAGTAACAGGCTTCTTTTAGTTTGTATTAGTGTTGCTATCGTTTATGCATACTGCATCATTTATTACTAATGGATCTGATTTATAGGATCATTTAGCTATTGAAGTTCAATGGATCCGATCCATTTCCAATCTTGCTCTAAACTGATAAACTTGATCAGAAAATTGCTATTTTCTTTTTGAATCATCTTGTATACACTTATTTTCTTTTCTAGATTGATTTAAATTATTCTGCAAAAATTTATTTTCTTATCTAAGATATAATATCTATTTACAAGTATATCTATAAGATTTTCACAATCTTTTTTTAAGTATAAAGCTATTCTTTAAGCTTTATTTAGCCGGGTAGATATTGATTAGCTGGGATTTCTTCATGAATAAAATTCGTTCTAAACTATAATTAGTATAAATAAGTTTAACTCTGATACTTTATTTTTAAATTTACATAATTTTTTGAATTAATTAATTACAGTCAGAGCTCGATATAACGATCATTAATAAAAATAAAACGACATTTTTAAAATATTCGACTTTATATTTGAACATATAAAATCGTTATATAAATTTTGATAAACCTAATTTTTTTTGAAATTTTCATGAAATTTTAATTAATTTATTTTTATTAAGCAAGTACCGGTATATTTTTAATGAAAATAATAAAGTGTAAAAAAAGATAAATTACGCGGCCTTTTTATAGTGAGGCGTTGGCCGGAATTATGGCATTACGGCATCTAAAAATGTATAATTTGTTAAGATGATCACGTGGGTGAAAATATTTGATATAAATAACTAAATTTGCCAAAATTATCAAAATTATCCGATATTTTCATTCTTTTAAGATTGATTTTCCAATGAAAATTTTTTGTATAAAATTGTTCCGATTGTTTCTAAATCGGATCCCAAATGGTCCATCTTTTTTCAAATCATTTAATTCATCTTTACCTTCCAATGACACTTTTTAAATATGAAGACACAATATATTTTTTTAGTTATATATACAATTTCACTTGTAAGCATTGCAAGTTTAGTAAATAATTTTGTTCGGGGACCTTATATGGTAATTTCTTCAGAAAATTTCATTAAATTAGTAAACGAGTTGATTTTAATTAATCAAAATTAAATAGGATGAAATATTTCATATTCCACAAGCGCAACAATACTGTAAAGGAAAATACGATGAATGGAATCCAAAATTGACAACACCACCAGGATTGTATGTTTATAGTTTTAATTCTTTAATGTCTAACTTTTATTAAAGTTTTTTTTTTTATAGATATATAATAAGTAATTTAATTATAAAACCATTATCATTCATATTTATATATTACATAAATTTATGTTCAACAAACTTTCTTCGAGCTACAAATATATTATTTGGTATTGGATCATATCATATATTACGGAAATTGATGATAAATTTCCACCCATTTCAAGATAGAAATTTATTATCATTTAACGCGTTAACGTTAAGTTTATTTCCTGTCGGATGGTTTTTCAATTTTTTATATTATACTGATTCTGGATCAACTTTTTTTGTGTTATGGAGTTATTTGTTATCTACCGAAAAAAAATATTGGATGAGTGCATTAGTACGTATTATTTTTATTCTACAAGAAATATCCTTCGGATTTTTAATCAACTTTTTGGAATTTTTAGGTTGGAGGTATAAGCGTTTTATTTAGACAATCAAACATCATCTGGAATTGTTTTATTTTGGGTACTTCTTTATTAGCAGTGTTATCCGATAGTAATTACGATTCAAAAATCAATGGAAGAATGTCTTATTATAGAGGAATTAATATTAGATCAGGTAAGAATAGAAATTATTATTAATAAAATTTAAAGTTTGAATAATAAATGACTTTTTTTTTCTAAAAAAAAAAATTAGATATTGCAATTAAAGAAATAAAGGATTTCTTAATATTAACTTTAAAAAATTCTCCAATACTTTTTACAATATTCTTTCCTTATTTTTTAATCTTTTCAAGTTTTATCGCTTTCCTTATATGGAATGGTGGAATTGTATTAGGTAAAATTTTATACTAATGTGATCTTTAAGATCTTGTTATTAATTTTACCTTTATTTCTTAAATAGGGGATAAATCAAATCACACAGCGGTTTTACATATACCACAAATATTTTATTTCATTTCTTTTACCACAATATTTTCAGCACCAATTATATTAAAGGTTGATTATGTTGATAGATTAATAACCGGTTTATTCTCACTAAATAATAACAGGTATTATTTTTTCCATCGAGATATTTTGAACTATTATCAAGTTATTTTTTTTTTTAATTAAATAATAAGTTAATTATATATTATTATAGAAAAAATTTATTTTTTGTCATATTAGTAATGATATTCATTATAAATCAATTTACGTAAGTCTACTACTAATATTTATAAACATTGATAATGCTTCAAGTATTATTAACATTTATTTTTATACCAAACGTTTAGGTATGAACATAAATTTTTATTAAGTGACAATCGTCATTATACCTTTTATATATGGAAGAATATTTATCGACGTCATTATCTGGTAAAATATTTTTTGATTCCTGTTTATATGGCAGCGGGGTGGATTCTATTAGAATCAATAGGTAAATATATATTAATTTGAAGAATAGCTTTTAATAATCACTCATTAACCTTACCATTTTTTTTAAAAAAACAAAAAACAAGCTTTACAACAATCATTTCTTTGGATTTTAATTTACATCACAGCAGTATGCCTTTCGTTAATTCCATCACCTTTGCTTGAATTTAGATATTTTATCATACCTTATTATATATTTAGGATAAATATTGGACAACCTAAAAATTATACAAGATTAGTGTTGGAATTTTTGATTTATGCTATAGTTAATGCTCAAACTATAAAATTATTTTTGTATGAGCCTTTCGTTTGGTTTAGTGAGATTAATAAGTGGCAAAGATTTATGTGGTAATTAGAAATGGATACTTTTGCATTAGAAAAAATTCTATTGCATACATTTGAATATTTTTATTAGTATAACTCATAACCATTTTTATGTAAAATTTATTTGATATTTAAATAAAAAATTGATTTTTTGTTGTTTAAATAGTAAATTAGTAAGTTATTATATATGTAATCCAAAGGATTTGATATAGTAATAATTATTATTACATAGTATATTATAATTTGTATAACTAATAATAAAAGAATATAAAAAGTAAAAAATAATAATTATATGTATTTTTGAAATTAATATTTACAAAATAATTTGGGTTATTATGTGTATAATTATAATTGATTAAATATATTAAAATTATACTTTATTTTAATGCAAATATTTCAAATATTTAGATAAAATCCTCAATTATTTTGTAAATTTTCAATATTGTGAAATTTATTACTTAATTGCATATAATTTGTTTAATTTAAAATTTTATAAAAAAACTTTATTTGATATATCTATATACTATATGAACCTTTTATGATCAAATAATTTTATCTCATATATTATATATCAATGTTATAGAATAATAACAATTATTATATCTAGTGATACCTGACGAAATTACTAGTTTTTATTAATGACAAAACTATTTTACTTAATTGTCAAAATTATATTTAACTTGATTTAAATTCCTTAAATTAAAATACATTAAAAAATATAATAATTTTATATTTATTCATATAAAAATATTAAAGAGATGAAACCTTTTAACAAAACTACAACTTTTTAAAAAAGAGTTTAGGTAGATATTACTAATTACATCTAATTAGACTCATAAATCATAAAAGTTTATTAAATTGTTAAAACATCTGTTATAATTATATATTAAAACTTTTTTTCAAAATACTTTTAAATTGCAAAAATGAATTTTGAGAATATGTTTATTATAAATATTAAAAATTACAAAAATCAGAATCTTAAAATCATTAAAGTTGCAAATAATATAAAGGAAGAAGTTATTAACTAAAATCATAAAGATAAAATAATAATCTTTATATTAGTAAACTTTTTATATCTTAGTAAGAAATTATAATATTCCTAGATTAATATTACAAATAAAAGAATTTTAAATATAAAAAGTGCTGTTAAAAGAAAAAAATAATAGAGAATGTAGTAAAATATCACATATAATATAATTATATTATATGTGATATCCTATTTGTACTAAATTATAGTATTACATATAATCTGACTATGATTTCATAAAGTAAAATTATGAAATTGCAGGAATTAATCCCTATAAATAATATGTATAAGGAAAGTATACGGAAATAATACGTTTAAAAAACGTATAATAAACGTAGAAAAAC